AATAAAGCGAGCCAGGAGAGTGAGAGGGTACGCTAGATCTGGTCGAGTGCAGGTCATCAGGTACATGAGGCACCCTACCAGCTCTGCGTATGGACCACTAGCCTCGACTGGCTCAGCCGGAACAGGAGCAGAGAGCTTGTGGTCCACAGGCTGGGTGGGCTGTGCTGAGGAGAACAGGAGACTGAACCTCTGAAGGATCTGCTGCACCTTTTGGGACTGGGAGAGTGTGATCATGCGAGCGACACGGTCACGAGAGATCTCCAAGCCCAGATAACGCCTCAGCTCCCGCAAGTTTGTACAGTTGTGTCTCCTACGCAACTCGGCCTTCACTGAGGCCAGTGCGACTCTGTCAGGAGTAGCAAAGATAAGTTTGTCTACATACACCACATACACTAATCTTTTATAGCAAAGGGATAAGAAATTGTAAAGAGTCTGAAAAAAAACAAAAATAGCTGAAAAGGAGCGGCAACCAGCCACCGACGCCCTGCCGTCACCCGCCAACTGCCACCACTCGCGGCCAGCCATTGACCACCAGCGCCAGTAGCCGTCGGCCGCCATCCGTGAGTCGGCCTCCAGCCGCTAGTCGCCAATCCGCCGCCAGCCTCGTGAGTCCCCTGTGCCTTATGGACTATCATTCACCCTGTGCCGCCAGTCCTAGTGACTCCTAGCTAGCTCCTCAGCGTGCTGCTCCTAGTAGCTCTTCTCGCGCATACTTCTTCCTTGTTTGCTCCCTACTCCACTTTGCAGCTCCTAGCCTCCAACAAGCCACTCACAAGCCGCTGTCCACCGATCCCAGCTTGCCACCTCTTGCTACCAGCCCCCGCCAGCTAGCGCCACTACCGTCTTACTGTCACTCGCTCCTTCTATCATCAGCCTACCGCTAGCCGCTGCTACTACTTGCCTCCTGCTCGCTGTCACGACTCCGACCACAGACACCGCTGCTACTACCTCCGCTAGTGCTCCTGTAGCACCTAGTGCCTCCTACTAGTCTCCTCCTCGTTTCTAGAGTTCCTCGACGCCTCTCCTCTCGGAATGATGGCCTCGTTAGGGTCAGTCCCTCGGCCAGTCCGTCGGGCATTTCCCTCCGCTCTTCGGTTTCTCTCTCACCATCTACAGCTGGTGAGCCTGCACCTAGACTGCACACTCCTAGAGGATCCCATTTGTTACCTCCTTGGATTCCGGCTCCACGACCTCGACGTCTGCTTCCAGGCTCTCTGACCAGTGGCGCAGCCACAGCAGCAGCAGCGGCAGCAAGCGCAGTGGGGTCTTGGGGGTGCTGGGCGCGGTGGAGGCTCTGGATGTGCGGCCTTGGGGCGGTCACTGCCCTGGGGCCACTGTGGTTTCTCTGGAGGACCGGAGGCCTTGGGGCCTAGGGGTCTAGGTCCTACCACTGTGTCTAGTCTAGGAGCCTCTACTACGTGTCCCTCGGCTCCTCCCTTGCCCCTCCTATGGCGGCCCTCTCCTTTATCCTTGACTCGGGCATGTCTCGTTGCTTCTTTAGAGACAGTACTGCTCTCACCCCGCTTTCTGCGCCTGTCCGCGTCACACTAGTGGACTCCCCGCCACAGCTGCCGCATGTAGCACCACCATTCTCTCTTTTCCAGCTGTCCCCTTCGGCTCTCTCACTGGTCTGCACATCCCTCGTTTGCCAGGAACCTAGTGGCTGTCGGTCCCCTTTAGGACCGAGGCGTCACCACTATGTTCCCTGGCCGCGAGAGACACGCCGCTTGTGCAGACACAGCCACCTGTTGGCACTTAGCCATGTTTGAGCGTGACCCAGGGTCAGGTCTCTTTATACTCCACACTGAGTCCCCGCCAACTGCTGCGTCTGTCGCAATTGCCGCTTCCTGCTCCTGTCGCTCCATAGCCCACCCGACCCGTGCTGTTCTACCACCCGTCACACCACCGCTTTTACCCGTCTCGTAACGTTACCTTCGATGAGACGCTCCCCTGCTTCAGGCGCTTCCTGCACTGCAGCACCCCTGTGCCTTGTCCTGCTCCGCCTCCCGCACTCCTCCTGCCCCGCATGGCCCATTCTGGTGTCTTCCACGCCACTTAGTTCCCTTCAGTTGCGCGTGTGGGGGAGTCGGCTGACTCTGGGGGCCCAGCTGCTGGGGGCGTGCCTGCTGTCCCTGTGGGGCTTCCCCCAGCCTCGGTACCCTAGGCACCTCAGCCGCTTCCCCCCATGCGTTAGCAGCAGCAGTAGCCTCCACATCAGACTCAACTGCCGCTGCAGCAGCAGCCGCAGCCGAAGGGAGCAGTGGGCTCTTGGGGTGCTGGTGTTGGAGATGTTGGCATTGGGGGTGTTGGTTCTGGGGGTGCTGACTCGGAGGGTGTTGATTCTGGAGGTGCAAGTTTTGGGGGTGCTGACTCCAGAGGTTCTAGTTCTGTGGGTGGTGCGTCCGAGGGTGCTAATCTTGGGGGTGCTGTTTCGGGGAGTGCCGATGGTAGCTGCGGTGCTGCTGGAGGTCTTGGTAGCAGCAGCCGAAGAAGCAGCAGCACCCGCAGCAGCAGGTGCAGCAGCAGCCGCAGCAGCAAGCGCAGCCGCCGCAGCAGCAGGCGCAGCCACCGCAGCAAGAGCAGCCTGAGTCTGCCCTTCGTCTCCTTGATCTTACTCCAGGTTCCCTTGTCCGCCTGCCCGTTCCCCCTCCGCTACGTGACCCTGTTTACGACCCGTTGTTCTCTCCTCTGGACTCTTTCCCGGCTCGTTTTCCCTCGCGCTCCCCGTCCCCAGTCCCCAGTTCTTCCCCACTGGGTCCATCGCCCCTCTAGTGCTCGTCTTGTCTCTCTCCGTCCTAGTGTCCACCTTATGGTCCTCCACTCTAGTGCTTCTCTAGTCCCCGTGCTTCCGTTACCTCATCCGTCTTCGCTCCCGCAGTCCCTGCCTCCTCTCTCTTACACTGCTCGCGCTGCTCGTTCTACCCTGTCGCGCTTGCTTCCATCGCTTGTCACTGGCCCTATTGCTCCTCCTTAGGCTGTCACTGCAGTTGTCGCTGCTGTCGCTGACTTTGCAGCTAGCCACCGCCTTGACTATGCTGCCGCTCTGGTCGCTGGTACTGCCTGTCCTCCGTCCGACGGGGGTGCACCTGCCCTTGGCAGTGACGTGCTAGAGGACAGGCAATACGAGTTGGCCTACGTTGCTGCGCTATTCCCCATGTCTGCTCCATGCTTGTATCCCCAGAGAGACCCAGACGCTTTCAACATCTCTGTTCCATGCTCTTACGCTGAGGTGGTGTCGGGGCCCTAGGCAGCCCTGTGGATACAAGCCATGGAGGCTGAGATGGCGTTCTACAGATCCACAAGCAGTTTCATCGACGTAGTTCCCCCGCCTGGGACGAACGTAGTCGATAGCATGCGGATCTACAGGGTGAAGCACGCGCATGGATAGTCGCCGAAGTTCAAGGCGCATTACGTGGCTAGAGGCTTCAGTCAGCGTGAGGGTGTGGACTTCTTCCAGACCTTCTCCCCGACCCCGAAGATGACTACTCTTTTGGTCGTTCTCCACATAGCCACGCAGTGTGACTATGAGCTTCATTCATTCGACTTCTCCACAGCGTTCCTGCAGGGTAGTCCGCACGAGTAGATCTACCTCTAGCGCCCTCAAGGCTTCTCTGGGCAGCGGCGGCAGTGGTGGCTGCAGTTGGCGGTTGCAGCGGCAGCGGCAGGGGCTGCAGCAGCTGCGGCAGTGGCATCGGCGGGAGCACAAGATGCGGTAGCGACGGCTGTAGCAGCGGTAGTGGCGGCAGCAGCTGCGGCAGTGGCAGCGGCGGCAGCGCAAGCGGCGGCAGCAGCAGTGACAACAGCAGCGGCAGTGGCGGCAGCAGCTGCAGCAGTGGCAGCGGCGGCAGTGGCAGCAGTGGCAGCTGCAAGGGCAGAGGCGGCAGCTGCTGCTGCAAGGGCAGCGGCGGGAGTGACGGCTGCAAGGGCAGTGGCGGCAGTGGCGGCAGAAACTGCAGCAGTGGCAACGGCGGCAGCGTGGGCTGTTGCAGTGGCAGTGGCAGCTGCAATGGCAGCAGCAGCACCGGCGGCTGCAAGGGCAACGGCGGCAGCGGCAACTGCAAGGGCAGCGGCGGCAGCGGTGGCTGCAAGGGCAGCAGCTGCAGCGGCAGTGGCGGCAGCGGCAGCGGCAGCGGCGGCAGCACAGGTTGCTGCAGCTGCAGTGGCGGCAGATGCAGTGGCTGTAGTGGCAGCGGTGGCTGCGGCAGCGGCAATGGCTGCAGCAGTTGTGGTAATGGCAAGGGCTGCAGCGGTAGTGACAACAGTAGTGGCGGCACAGTTGCAGCAGTAGTGGCGGCAGCGGCAGTGGCAGAGGCAGCAGCAGTGGTTGCAGTGGCAGTGGCGGCTGTCTGGCGACTAGCTGGGAGCAGTGGCTGGCGCAGCAGAGAGCTGGCTAGTGAGGAGCTGGCTGGCACTGCTAGCGAGTAGCTAGCAGCAGGTGCTGGCGGCGAGCTGGCGGACGCTGCTGGCGGCTAGCTGGCTGGTGCTGCTGGCGGTGAGCTGGCGAGCACTGCTGGTGGCGCGCTGGCAAACGCGGCTGGCGAGCTAGCTGGCTAGCGTGCTGGCTAGCTGGCTGGCGCGTTGGCTGACGGGCTGGTTAGCGCGCTGGCGGCGTGCTGGCTAGCGTGCTGGCTGGCGCGTTGGCTGGCGTATCGGCTAGCGTGCTAGCTGGTGTGCTGGCGAGCGTGTTGGTTAGCATGCTGGCTGGCTCGCCGGCCTGCTCGCTGCCGTACGAAACAACGCGAATGCTAGGGGGAGGGCATCGAGGCTACAGAGCACGAAATTGGAGGGCAGGAGATGCGCGAAATTGAGAGAGTTGCACACGTGCAGAAAAAAAAATGTAGCGGCGGAAGCGTGACTCACGGCAGAAAAAAACTAACCTAGCTAAATACCATGTCAAAGTGTGACTAGGAGGAGGGGGGAGGTAGATACAAGTACAAGAATATTGTCCTCTCTAAGAACTGACATAGCTAGGCTATAACAAACTAAATATGTGTAGACAGAATTATATGTTTGTTGACAAGGGGGAGGTGCGCGAAATTGAGAGAGAGAGAGAGAGAGAGAGAGAGAGAGAGAGAGAGAGAGAGAGAGAGAGAGAGAGAGAGAGAGAGAGAGAGAGAGAGAGAGAGAGACAGAGAGAGAGAGCGAGAGAGAGAGAGAGAGGGAGAAGAGAGACAAGCGCGAAAAAAATGAGTCTACAATTATGGCGGAAGCATGAGCAACAGCGGAAAAAGCTCAATACCATGTTAGAGTAGGGGGAAAAGTTGTGTCTAGGAAGAGGGGAGGGGTGATACAAATACAGTTTTTGCCCCTTTAAGAACTGACCTAGCTAGCCTATAACAAACATATCTAAAAACTAGAGAGATGCCTATACCATATTCCTTCTGATATACGTCCCTAGGGGCGTTTAGGGGTCTGGTTTGAAAATGAGGGGGGAGCGTTTCTTTGAATTTAATTTATACGCCCATGGGCGTTCAAAATGATTTTTACATAATATTTTTTGTAGTATACCAAAATGTAGCTCATGACAATTGTGTGATGGTGGGCGTGCTCCCATAGCAAACACGTTAACAGATCTCACGCAGAAGCCTCTGGAATCTACGCGAGGCAGGAAAGATGCCTTGCGGTCCAATGAGATGCCTGAGCGGTGCTGTGCTGTGCCTGCACACCCCGCGTAGGGTGTCATGGGCCATGTGACTGGTACTTCCGTGTTGGATGGGGTATGTGGCACACAGAAGGCTGAATGTAGATGCTGTCGAACCTTCAAACGAAAGGATTGCCAGCACATATTCGAACCTGCACACATGGCAAGGAATCTTGCCATGTGTTGTAAAAAAATGGAATCTTCCTCATCGATAAAAATCATCGACGAGGAAGACTGGCCGCATTCTTGAGAGGGGGTACCGTCACCTTGCTTTCATTATTTTGTTCCTCGATGGAATGAGCAAGAACCCGCACCAGCTCCCCTAGCGGGAGTTATGGCTAGCTTCTCAGGCTCAGGCCTCTCCGTTCTTTTCGGCCGTCCTAGCGATCCCACACGACTTAGAGCCGCCGTGCTCCTCTCTACCTAGTGTTGCCCTCCCACTCCTGCTCTGCCCGCTCCTCCCGCACCTCCTGCCCCTCCTGCACCTCCCGCGCCGCCTGCACCGCCTGCCCGTGCATTTAAGAACGGCATCCCCACCTTGACACTGCTTCTTCCTGAGGAGGAAGCCCCCCGTGATTATGAACCTGCCGGTCGTGACAAAGGCAACCATGATGGCCAGCCCGAAGACCCCCGCGAGACAAGGAAATCCCGGACGGCGGCGATTGGCCGGAGGATGCAGAAGACGGTGGCGGCGAGGCTGAGTACTGATCGCAAGATGGACTTCCCAAGAAATTGCATGTCCCGTCCTTCCCTGAGGGCAGAAAGCGTCCCCACCCCTCTACTGAAAACCGTGATGCTCCCCCCCCCCCCCTCCCCCCTCGTGTCCCAGGAACCGCGCTACTAAGCTCAAGCGGAATTCCTACACCGCCAAGGAAAAGCTCTTCTGGCTTGGGCATCTTAAGGAGGTCAAGATAAAGAAAGAGGTGGCTTGAGAGGCAGGTGTCTCGCGCCATCGCATCAACGACTGGATTAAGGCTGAGCACGAGTTGGAGGGTACCGTTGGGTGTCGTAAGCGACTTCACGGCCATGGGCGTTTGTCGTGGTACTCCGACATGGAAACGCAAGAATACGCCCGCTTCCTTCCTGCGCGCGCTGTGGGTTCCCCTGTCCCTGTGTCAAAGCTCCATATGTGGTTGCGGGAGCTGATGAAGCACCTGCATCCGGAGGTGAAGTGGCAAGGTTCCCACTGTTGGACTGAGCAGTTCAGAGCTCGTTGGAACCTCTCCATTCACGCGAAGACCAAAGTCGGTCAGAAATTGACCCACCGGTAGGTTGTGTTTTCTCGTTTATTTCTCTGCTTTGCCTTTCGAACCTCTACGCTGCTCACTGGCGCCCATGCTGGTTGAATCTCTAACAGCGCCTATTGACCGTTGGCTTTCCCATGTGTTTTCCATCCCCGCCATCCCCCCTCCCTCAGCATGCCAAGTCAAAGTCGAGAATTTCAGGCACTTCTGTCGTGAGGTCCGTCGATTGTACGAAATCGAGGAGTGCTGGATCATCAACGCTGATCAGACACCCCTTTGGCTCAAGATGCCAACCGAGCGCACCGTTGAGGAAATCGTCACGAACAGCGTCCCTATCCGAACGACGGGTTACCAGAAGGAACGAATCATCGTGATGCTTGCCTGCACCGCCGCCGGCGAAGCGTAAGCCATGGGTCTACTTCAAGAGGAAGACGGTGCCAAAGGGGGATTTCCCGAAAGGTAAACTAGCATAAATCATTTGTACAATCTCATTTGTCGGGCTTGTTTTGCTTCTTTTTTTGATGCTGTTGACTCCTGTGCTTGTCTTCGCAGACGTCGTCATCGCAGCATAGCCAAACGGGTGGATGGACGCTGAGGGAGTGAAGGAGTGGCTGCTCAAGGCAGACAAGCCGTTCACAAAGCCGCGCTTCGGTCTACACGGTCGGTCGGCCCTGCTCATCCTCGACTCCTACTAAGGAAACCTGACTGCGGAAGTCAATGAGGCGTATGCCACGTTCGGCCTGGTGCCTAGAGTCATCCCCGCCGGCTGCACGTCCGTCGTCCAGCCGCTAGACATGTGCGTGAATCGCGCGTTCAAGGCTCGTGTCTGCCACTTCTACCAAGAGTGGTTCGATTCGGTCGGGATGTACACCAAGACCACCAAGGGTAAGTTTCTTTTTAACAAGCTTGCTGTTTTCTTGCCTGTTCTGAGTGCTCCCTGACTCAGTGGCTATTTCTTATACGCGCAGGCAACATCAACAAGCCCCTGCCAGAGGAGATCATTAAGTGGATCTCCAAGGCGTGGAGGGAAATCATGGCATCCCTCATTCAAAGGGCATTCAATACCTGCGGCATCAGCAATTCTCTCGACGGCAGTGAAGACTACCTGACTCTGCAGCATATGCGCAACAAAAAATAGGCTGAAGTGGACGTCGACGATGAAGTGGGCGCAGATGGATTCGCCAGGAACAACTCTGCTGCTGCGGCACCAGAGGATGTGGCTGCTGCTGAGGAGGGGGGACAATGAGGAGGAGGTGGAGGAGGAGGAGGAGGAGGAGGGAGGAGGAGGAGGGAGGAGGGAGGAGGAGGAGGGAGGAGGGAGGAGAGGAGGAGGAGGAGGAGGAGGAGGAGGAGGAGGAGGAGGAGGAGGAGGAGGAGGAGAAAGAGGAGTAGCCTCCTGTAATCTGTGCAGCATCTGGATAGTTGATGGAGCATCTAGATAGGCTTTATGTATGCAAATGTATGCTAGGCAGGGCGTAGAGCTAGCTATTTCTGCTAAAGCTTAGGTTATCTTGATATAACATTATAATCACGTGTAAATGTAATGCGATAATGGTAATGAAATAAGCATCCCGCAATAGGCCTTGAAAAACAGGGGGGGGCGTATATGGTACAGGTTTCCATAAAACGAAGGGGGGGTGTTTAATGAAATACTGTTTATAAGGCCCAGTGAACGGGATAAAGCCCACAGGCCTTAACATACGGAGGGGCGTATATCCGGGGGGAGTACGTTACAGAAATGTTGACAAAAGAGCCGAGGAGTGAAACGAACACGCCTATGCATGAACCTTTCAGTCGACCCAAAAGTTCCTATCCATGTTGTAAGGTGCCAAATTTGCAACGCCGGACTCCCTTCCAACATACACGAAACACGCAACATTAAAAGATATTTTCAGGTAACTCGCCTTTTGGCCCAAATAAGCAAGCTGACGTCAGGTGTAGCAGCATCGATGCTCCCCCTTTGGTACTAACATATCGCGGATGATTGTTGGGCCTGGGTACAACGAAACCCTCGATTGTGGCAGGACACGTGGCTCCGTCACTCCCAAGGGACGCGCTGTAGAGGCAGCCAAGGCCATCCGCCCAGTCGGCAGACGGTAACCGCCAGATCTGCTGTCGCACCCGACATGCAATCATTATCGCAGTGCCTTCTATAATTCTGTATGCACGTAACTGCCAGAAGTGCTGTGGGGCAGTTGCCGAGTCAACGAATTTCCGCATGTGAGGGCTGGCAGCACGGCTGCTTGTGCTGGGGGGTTTCCAACCAGGCCTCTCTCTCGATGTCCCGAAGGGCCCCCTGCGGAATCCGAGTTAGTCGCGCAACCAACTCGTCCAAGCTGGGTAGCCCAAAAATGTTGACTTTTTGCAGGGCAGTTTTGGGGGTTTCTTGGCATGTGCAAGGTTTCAGGGTCCAGTTCACATTTTTTTAAGTGCACTGAACTTTTCCTTTCACCAATTTCATCTACAAGTGCTTGGATGTTATTCTAAGCCGAATTGTGCTAAAAAGGAAAACCCAAACGATTGACTACAAGTGCAACCACCACTTCACCAATTTATTGCTGATTACAAAAACTACGCCCTACCCACAGGAGCAAATGCCCCACCTAAATGAAGCACAGAGACGTGGTCCAAGAAAACACGTTTTTTCCCAACCAAACCTCTTTGGGGAAACGAGCTTGGCTGAGATAGGCTTGGTTGGGGGGGACGATTTCGGCTGAGAGAGGCTTGATTGGGGGGAACGAGTTTGGCTGAAAGAGGCTCGGTTGGGGGAAATGAGTTTGGTTCAGAGAGGCTTGGTTGGGGAAATGAGTTTGGTTCGGAGAGGCTTGGTTGGGGGAAACGAGTTTGAGTTAGAGAGGCTTGGTTGGGGAAGCTGCAACATCCAATCAAGGTGTGGCGCGTTTGCCGAAAACCCAAACGGGCCACTTGGGATTTTGGGTGCGGTTTTGCCCAAATCCCTCCCTCAACGGAGAAGAGGGGTTTCTAGCCGGGTAACCAGGCCTTACAGTCGGATATTACAGGGCGATACATTCCACTACTCGGAAATCGGACGTGGAATGTTGTTGTCTAGTCTGCTAGTGGACGCGTACTTCAAATCTGGATGTGTAGAAATCAGGGTAGCACACCAAAATCACAATGCTTTCCTTGAGTAAGCACGGTAATTACCCGAACATCGAGAGGCCTGTTTTCCAACCAAACCAAAATGGGATGTCGACGGATTTCATCGACATACTTCAGACATCCCATCGATGTAGGTTCGGCGTGATTTCGTAAGTCGTTTGAAGGGTCCAGAAAGTTTCAGCTCAGTGCATCGGAATGTCGACGGATGTCGCCGGGCATGTCCTGAAGCCTGGTTGTAGCCGTACCGGGGGTCACGCACGCCCAGGTATCTACCACTACCGGAACGCGAGCTCGGTTCAGCATGGTAGGGATTACGTTTTCGCAGTTCACCGTTTGCATCCCAAAATTCAGCCAAGGCAAAATGGCCTTGGGGGCGAGGGTTACCCACAGGTGTCCTACGCCAAGATGCCCCATTGTTACCCCCAAGAGTGCCAGGAAAAACCTGTGCACAAGGCGAAGCTGTTTACCCTGGCAA